TCTCCTCGGAAGGAAGATGGGACAATCTACTTCCATAGTGATACTGCCTCAGAAACCCAAGGAGGGATCACTATGAGTCTGATCTGACTCGACGGCACATAACAACAACAACAACAACATTCATCTTCTGATGGGCATTTAGGTTATTTCAACTTTTTGTCTATTGTGAATAGTGCTGCAATGAAAATTGGTGTAGAAAACTCTTTTTGAATCTCTACTTTCAAGTATTTTGGGTATATACCTAGAACTGGAATTGCTAGGTCGTATGGCTGTTCTATTTTTAGTTTATTTAGGAACCACCACACTCTTTTCCACAATGGCTATACCATTTTGCGTTCCCACCAGCAATGGATAAGGGTTCCAATTTCCCAAATCCTTGCCAACACTTGTTATTTATTTATTTATTTAATCTTAGCCATCATAAAGGAAAACAAACAAACAAACAAAAACACTGCTATCAAGTTGATTCCAACTTATAGTCACCCTATAGGACAAAGTATAGGAAACCATAGGGTTTCTAAGTCTGAATATCTTTACGAAAACAGACTGCTTCATCTTTTCCCCATGGAACAGCTGGTGGGTTAGAACTGCCAACCTTTTGGTTAGCAGCTGAATGCTTTAACCACTGCACTCCAGAGCTCCTTTTAGCCATGGAATGAAATGGTGTCTCTACATGGGGAGCTCTGGTAGCATAGTGGCTAAGGCACTTGACTGCTAACCAGAAGGCTGGCGGTTCAAACCCACCATCCACTCCTCGGAAGGAAGGTTGGGCAATCCTACTTCCGTAGTGATACTGCCTCGGAAACCCAAGGAGGGGTCACTATGAGTCAGGGCTGACTCGACGGCACATAACAACAACGACAACAACACATGGCTTTAACATGTATCTCTCTGATAGCTAATGGCACTGAGCATCTTTTCGTGTGTTTGGTGGTCATTGTAATGTCCTCTTTGGTGAAATGTCTATCAAGGTTCATTGTCCATTTTATAATTGAGTTTTTTGTCTTTTTGTTGTTAATCGTCAAAGTTTTATATATATTTTGATTATTAGATTCTTGTAGGATATATGGTTCCTGAAGATATTCTCTTAGTCGGTAGCTTGTGCTTTTTGCTGTTTTGGAAAAAAAATCTTCTGATGAACAAAAGTTTTTAATTTAGTTATTTTGCCTTTTGCTGTTGTTATTATATCAGATATTCCATTGTTAAAGCTAGACCCGATAGTGTTGCTCCTGCTTGTTCTTCTAAGAATTTTTTTTTTTTTATTATTGTGATTTGGGTGAAGATTTACAGAGCAAAATTCACTTTCCATACAGCAGTTCACATATACTTTGTCTCATATCATTGACCACTGTTTACCACAATGCAACAGCTTCCCTCCCACTTCCTCCCCATAGTTACCTCTTCCCAGTGTCCATCCCTCCATACACTCCTGCCCCCTGAGCTGTCTCCCTGCGTATAAGCACCCTTTCTTTCTCCCCTAATTGTTCTCTCCAAGGAGTGTATCTACTTGAGGTAAGTGTTCAACTCATATGCCTGTATTTTGTTTGGCTGGAAACCACAGGTGTGGGTTCAATTCCAGACCTGAAGGGCAGCTAGGGGCCATAGTCTTAGTGGTTCCACCAGGCTCTATAGGACCGGCAAACCTGACCCCCACCTTTTTTTTTCCTCCAAATGATTTTGAGTTTTGTTCCACATTGTTCTCCCTCTCTATCAAAGATCTCCTACATAGATCCACTTCCAAGTGTCTTCTAAGAATTTTACGGTTTTATTTTGCACATTTAGGTTCTTAATTCATTTTGAATTTGTTTTTATGTATGGTGTGAGGCATGGATCCTGTTTTATTTTTCTGCATGTGGAAATACAATTTTCCTAGACTCTTTTTAAGACTCTTCTTTCCCCATTGAGTAGGCTAAACATCCTTGTCAAAAATCAGTTGACCATAGATATGTGAGTTTATTTCTGGACTCTCAATTCTATTCCTTTGGTCCATGTGTGTATTATTATACCAGACTAGGCTGTTTTGATTACTGTAGCTGTATAGTATGTTTTAAAATTAGAAAGTGTAAGTCCTCCTACTTTATTCTTTTCTTTCAACATTGGTTTAGCTTTTACTTGTCAATCCATATATGGTTGAAGATAGTTTTTTCTATTTTTGTAAAGAAGGCTGTTGGAATTTTGATCAGCATTGTCTTAAATCTATAGATCACTTTGGGCAGTACTGACATCTTAACAACATTAAGTTTTCCAATCAATGAACAAGGAACACCTTTCCATTTATTTAAGCCTTCCTTAATCTCTTTCGGCAGTGTTTTATACTTTTCATTGTATAAGTCCTTCATGTCCCTGGTTTGACTTATTCCTAAGTATTTTATTCTCTAAGATGCTATTGTAAATGAAATTGTTGCCCTAATTTCTCTTTCAGATTTCTCATTGCTGGTGTATAGAAACCAAGCTGGTTTTGTTTGTTGACCTCATACCCTACAACTTTGCTAAATTCCTCTAATAGCTTTAGACATTTTCTTATAGGTTCTTTTGGATTTTCTATATATGGGATCATATCTTCCACAAATAGAGATAATTTTACTTCTTCTTTTCTAACCTGAATACCTTTCATTTCTTTTTCTTGTCTTACTGCTCTGGCAAGGACTTCTCATACAATACTGAATAGAAGTGGTGAGAGCAGGCACCTTTGTCTTTTTCCTGATTTCAAGGGGGGAAAGCTCTCAGTCTCTCTCCATTAAGTATATTGTCTGCTGTTGGGCTTTTCATATATACCCTGAATCATATTGAGGAATTTCCCTCCTATTCCAATCTTCTTCAGGGTTTTCATCAAGAAAGGGTGTTGGATTTTGTCAAATGCTTTTTCTGCATCCATAGAATGATCAGGTGATTCTTTTCCTTTTTTCTCTTGATGTGGTGTATTGATGTTGATTGATTTTCTAAAGCTGAATCATCTCTGCATTCCTGGAATAAATCCATTTGGTCATGGTGGTATGACTTTTAATATGCTGTTGGATTCTGTTTGCTAGTATTTGATTGTTAGCTTCCTTATTCTTAATCTAGCTGCCTCTTCACTGCATGGAATTATCATTCAGATATCCTTGGGTGCTCTCTATTCAAAAGATTTTAAAATTTTATGTTGGCCTTGGCATAGATCTTTAATTTTTCCATGTAGAAAGGTGATTCTCACCTGTTTAGATGGTTCCACATTATTTTTATTATGTAGCTACACCTCCTTAAAACATCATATAGCAAGAATATAGGAAAATATACATACTGGAAGAACATAGCAATTTCATTTTGAAACTTTGTCATGAAATTATGTTGTGACATCCAGTGCAGATCCAACCCAAACTAGGAATCTCTGATTTAGGGCCATAGAGACAAACATGTTTTGGGCCCTTGTCCTTTTTATTGGAAGTTGTGAATAGAGCTGCTTGAGGTACAGTTATCATTATTAACATTAAAAGTAAGCTTCATTGGCAAAAAGGATTTTGAGAGATGAAGAGGGCCAAAAGCTGGAGTGAAAAATGTCATAGATTAAGAAGCCAATAAGGACATACAGATGCAAGATTAATTCTTACACACACTGTGAACCTCACAACCAAAATCCTCAATTATAAAAGTATGTGTGCATATGCATGTGTGTGTACATGTGTGCAAAAGGATGTAGATGTGTGCAAGTGTGTGAGTAAGCATATGTGTATGTGCATGTGTATATGTGTTGTCTCTCCAAACAGACATTAGGCTCCTCAGGGACAGAGATTACTTTTCTAGCTCCTTCTCTTCCTAATTTAAAAGAAGGAAAAATAAACAAACCCATTGCCAGCGAGTCAATACAGACTCATAGCGACCCTATAGGACAGAGCCAAACTGAACCATAGGGTTTCCAAAGGTGTAATCTTTATGGAAGTAGACTGCTACATCTTTCTCCTGTGGAGTGGCTGGTGGGTTGAACCGCTGACCATTATTTCAGTTAGCAGCTGGGTGCTTAACCGCTATATTACCAGGACTCCTTCTTAAAAGTAGACTCAGTTTAATTAGTTGAAGATAAAAGTTGGTAATGATAGGAGTGGGGATTAGCTCTTGTCTTGCTCATCTTTTATCCCAGAACCTATCACAATGCCTGGCACCTGGTAGGGAGCTCTGGTGGTGTAGTGCCTAAGGCATTTGACTGCTAACCAGAAGGCTGGCAGATCAAACCCACCAGCCTCTCCTCGGAAGGAAGATTCAGCAATTTACTTCCATAGAGATACTGCCTCAGAAACCTGAGGAGGGGTCACTATGAGTCAGATCCGACTTGTTGGCAGAGAAGTTGTGTGTGTGTGTGTGTGTGTGTGCACCTGATATGCACTCAAAATTTTCATCAGGGATAGCTATTCAGTGGATACTTTATGCCATGCTCTGTTCTAAGTGCTTCAGGAAATCTTCACAACACTTCAGGGCATAGAAACAGGAAGCAACACCAAACTAGTAAGGGGTGGAGTTGTGTGTCAACACACACAGTCTAACTTTTCCTCTCAACTTCCATGAATGATAGTGGCTGAGGGCAATTCTAAGCTGTGGCCACAGAATTCAAAAACTTCTCAAGATGCAGTTTCCATCTTTAAGGAAGGTTACCTAGTTCTCTAGTCCATTTATAAGTGTTCCTGGGTGGCACAAATTGACTAGGCACTCAGCTACAAACTGAAAGGTTGGTGGTTTGAATCCACCCAGATGCACCTTGGAAAATAGGCCTGGTGATCTGCTTCCAAAGGATCACAGCCTTGAAAACCCTATAGAATACAGTTCTACTCTGATATATGGGGTTGCGCCATGAATTGGAATTGACTTGACAACAACTGGTTTTCTAGTCTGTTTCTGAAACTCCCCAAATCCCTCAGTCTCTCTCCCAAGCTTTTCTATCACAGATTGGTGGAGAAGATAAAATGAACTTCCCCCTGCCAGTAGATGCCCCATGTCCTTCCCTGCTTCCTAACACTACCTTGGCTTCTCTGCAGGTTTGCCAAGCTGCTCCTTCGCCTCCCAGCCCTGCGCTCCATTGGCTTGAAATGCCTGGAGCACCTCTTCTTCTTCAAGCTCATAGGGGACACGCCTATTGACACCTTCCTCATGGAGATGTTGGAAACCCCGCTGCAGATCACCTGAGGTGAACCAACCATGACCTCCCCACCCAGGGTTACCCCTGGGCAGGCGTGTGTGGATCCCAATCCTGCCCACTTCCCTTTGTACACTTCCATCCAGCTCCCGCCCTGACCCCCTTCCAGTTCCCAAAATGCTTATAATAAAGGAAACCTTTCCACACTTGAGAGTTTTATAGGTGGAGTTTTGTATAGATGTTAAACGTAACCCTTCTTTGCTATATAAGGGGCTGGGGGACTTTCTGGAAGCCTTCAGAAAATTAACCCACATCTGTACATATAATTCATTTAAATTATTTTTTCACTTGCCATGAAAAGCAAACAAACAAATAATAAAACAATCTTTATGATATTGGCACTGCTTGAAGCATGGGGTGTGTTATTGTGCTGCAAGGAAATTATCTCAGATGTGGGAGGAGGGGATGTGGGGGCTGAGGGTGGAGAACAGAGCTGAAATCCTGAGACCCTAAATCCCACTGTGAATACTGAATTTAAGCTGGGCTTCTCAGCCAGCCCTCTCTGCCCCAGGGCAGCCCCTGGAGAGACTGAGAAGAGATGCTGTCTATTAAGGTCAGCTAGATGTTTGGTTTCTTTTTCTTTTTTTTCCCCTTCTAAGAATAACAAGCAGAGAGAATTTTGTACTGATTGGGGTAATTCAGTACAAGGCCAACGGATGATGTTTTCCTGATGAGAGAAAGTTTCTGGTTCCTGGATGTTGGTGGGAGGTGGTAGCAAAGAAATGGCTTTTATAACATTAACCAACAAGAAAACCAGTACACACCAAATTTATTATCCCTGATTATTTAATGCTATGGAACCAGTTCTTTGCGGTCCCTGCATGGTGCAAATGGTAAAGGGCTCAACTATTAACAGAAAGGTTAGTGTTTTAAACCCACTCAGAGGCTCATTAGAAGAAAGACATAGTGATCTACTTCCAAAAGGTCACAGCCTTGAAAACCCTCTGAAGCACAGTTCCCACTCCATGGGACCACCATGGGTTGGAACTGACTAGCTGGTAACATCAATAGCTTGTTCTTTAAAAGGGGAGGGGAGAAAACTGCTCCCAACCTCTAGCTCAGAATCTCAAGGTTTACCTAGTGCTCTTGGAGCTCCTTTAGGGTGGGAACTATGTCTAACTGACACCGTGGCTTGCCTATATAGCCTATCTTCCTTGAGTCACTTTCCTGCCATCAGCAGAAATCAGATTTAACAGATATACAACTCTATGCTGACTATGATTTGCAAGGCTTCCTCAAAGGTTGTTGTTCTTGTTACCAGTGCCACTCTGACAAGAATATACCACAAATGGGATACCTTTAACAAGCAGAAGTTTACTCTTTTTTTTTTTTTTTT